AGTTTTAGTTCATACAGTTTTGTATTGCTTGAGGTTTATTATTTTTATAATTAGAAGAGAAGCCTTTGGTAGTTTCTTATAAAGTTAAAAATACATTTACCTTATGACCCAGCAGCTCAACTCCTAAAGAAATGAAAATACATGTCCACAAAAAACTGTACACAAATATTCATAGCAGCTTTATTCATAATAGACCCACACGGGAAACAACCCAAATGTCTAGTTGTTACTTTTTATATAAATTGGCTGGCCAAGTCCAACAGAGCTTTAGGAATATAACATTGATTTGTGACTCTCTGCCCTTCCCACCACCCTCGTGCCCACTCTTCTGAGGTCAGCCTCAGCTCAGATTTCCCAAAGAAGCCTTAGACCAGGTGAGGTGAGCAGGAAACCTCATAGCCCTATCCAGAGCAGATATAACTCAACTGAGGATGCTACTGTGGCTCAGGTGTACCTTAGTCCTCAAAGTGACATCTTTGCTTTTTAACACTTTAAAGATGTCTTTTGCAGATACATCCAATGATTTCAAACAATGTATTGCACTGGGCAAATCTACTGTACTTTAAAGTGTTAAAAAACAAAGATGTCACTTTGAGGACTAAGGTGCACCTGCCCCAAACCATGGTATTTTCCAATCACTTCATATGCATGCAAAAACTGAGCAATTAATAAAGAAGACTAGAAAAGAATTAATGCCTTTGAATTATGGTGTTGGCAAAGAATACTGAAATATACCATAGACTGCCAGAAGAATGAACAAATCTGTCTTAGAAGAAGTATAGTCAGAATGCTCCTTAAAATTGAGGATGGCAAAACTTCATCTCATGTACTTTGGACATGTTATCAGGAGGGATCAGTCCCTGGAGAGGGACATCGTACTTGGTAAAGTAGAGGATCAGTGAAAAAAGCAGACCCTCAATGAGATGGACTGACTCAGTAGCTGTAGCAATGGACTCAAACATAGCAACAGGTGTGGGGATGGTGCGGGACTGGGCAGTGCTTTGTTCTGTTATACACATGGTTGCTATGAGTCGGAACCAACTCAATGGCACCTAATAATAACAACAAAGACGCTGGGCTGTGTGTTCCTGGGAAGGTCAAAGGCAGCGAGTTAATGGTCTGTGTACCTGTTAAACACCATGTCCAAGCCTTCACCCCATGCTCAGAGAAAGCACTCAGGGCAAGACTCCCTGGCACAGAAAATACTTTGTGCCCTACCTACCAGTGACCCAGCCACCCTCTTATCTCCTAGAAGGGCCTTGTTCCTCACTCACCATCAGGGCTCTCCGGCCTGCAAGCTTGCCTAGCTTCTCCATCATTGTCCTCAAACCCAGTCTGACCTGTTTTCAAATCCCTTTTGACCTCAGAATAAAGCTTAAACCCTTTTATCCCACATACCTACATATATACGTGGCTATCAGCCATGAGGCTCCTGCCAAATTCATCCCCCACTCTTTTCCCTCTATCTACCTGGGACTTTGGAGGACTTGTTCCACAAACACATTTGGCTGTTTCATGCCTCTGTGCCTTTAAACCTGCTATGCCCCCTGTCTGGAATGCCAGTCCACCTTGTTTCTCCTGCCTCAGAAAATGACAACTCTGACATCACCTCCTCCAAGAAGTTTGAGTGCCTTTTACTCCACCATCAATACACACTCAGCACTCCTGAGTCTTCTTCCGAGCATGCCACGGATAGCACGGAGGCTGCCACATTATCCCATCTTCCTCGAAAGTCAACATTCTACCCCAAATCAGTGCCTGTCCAGAACTGACCTTAGCCAAGGTTTGTTAACCAACTAAAGGAGCCAATTAAAAAAGCACTCTCGTCCTCACTTGAAGGCCACCCTAGACATTTCCACACCCACAGTTCCACCTTAGAACCCAGACATTTAAACAAATGCTTTGGCCAAGACAGGTTGTCAAACGCAGAGAAGCAAGATACTGCCTCAAAGAATCTTTCTCTCACTTGCGACCTTTGGCAGAAGTGGGAACTGGTCTGTGCCGGCTGGGGTGGGCCTGGGTCTCCAGGCCAGCCTAATCCCCACCCAGACCCCCGCTTGCTGAGGCTGAACTGTGTTCTGGGAAGTCCTTGAGTTTTATTTCCCCTATATAGAGGAAACAGAGCTCTGGTGTGTGCAATAGTTAAAGCATTAGGCTGCTAACCAAAAGGTTGGCAGTTCAAACCACCTACCAACCACTCCATGGGAGAAAGATGAGGCAGTCTGCTTCCGAAAAGATTTATATCCTTGGAAGGCCTATGGGGCAGTTCTACCCTGTCCTATAGGGTCACTATGAGTCAAAATGGACTCAACAGCAGTGGGTTTACATAGAGGAATGTGCGCAATGACTCCCAAGGAGTTCTGACTTCTCATCCTGGGACCTTTGGAAAGACTTTCAGAGTACAGTTCCCAAACCTTCTGGCAGATGGACAGACAAATTGCGGCTAGAAAATATGGTCCCAGAACCCAAACTGCCTTCTAGGGGCTGGAGCCTGGGAGGGACCATATCAGGGGAGATGCAGTGGCCCTAGAGAAGGCACAGAGAATGTATAACTAGGAATAGAATCGAGGTGCCAATGGGCCCATGAGCTCAGCCTCCACTCCTGAGGAGTAGAATACCTTGTCCCTCATTTTCCCCAGACATTAGTCTACTCACAACTTCCCAGGCCATCTAGAGACAAAAGGGTCATGAAGCCAAAACTCACAGTTGGTTGAGGAAAGGTTTTTCAAAGCCCAATCCTGCCACTGCCCAATCAAGACTAAGTCCGTCAGTGGCTCTCAGTTTGCCCATCTGTAAAATGGGCACTACCCGCTGGTACCTGTGGATTCTACAAAGCAGATGTGGTCAAATCCCTGCAGGGTGAAATAAGAGGAGCAAGGCAAGGGAGGTCACCTGCAGCAGCACCACAGGTCAGTGCATGATAAAGACAAAGGCTCAAGAGCTTGAGAATACGCCTCGGCCCCTGGCCCCTACCACATACAACAGTGACCGGGGACCTCATGACACTCATTAATCAGCAGCTCTGCAGCCGAGCCCAGCTTTACAGCTTACCACAGGCTTATTCAGCCTCATCTCCCTCAATCCCCTCAAGGACACAAAGAGGTGGGCGTCGGCGTCCTTGCTGCCCACACAGGAAAGCCAAGGCTGGAGAGGCCGAGAGGACGTGTCCAAGGTCACTGGCCAGCTAAGGCAGGGAACAGTACTGGAACTCAGAAACCTGGGGCCAAGCTCCTGCCACTCAGGCCCCAGCTGACTCCATAACCAGAATCTCCCTAATCCATTTCATAGATGAGAAAACTAAGGCCAAAAGAAGGCAGCCCAAGGTCAGTGAGAAGCTAAGGCAAGTTTAAGACCTCTAGCCTCTCTCAGCCAATCCCACCCTAAGGTCAGTTCTCAGCTGATACCCTCCATCTCCGCCCCTCTACCTTTGCTAAACCATCCTGATGAAATTCTTTCCCTCACCCCTACCCCCTCATGCCCACCCCACACTCCCCAGATGACTCCGTGGTCGAGAGGGAGGTAGGTGGTTGCTAAGCACTCACCCGCACTCTCACTCATAAAAATAAACTCCTTCTGGCTGGGAGACTCTGGACAAGATCCCCTCCCTTCCAGCCAACAAAAAATTAAAAAGAAATTTTAAAAAGATCTCCACCATGACATTTATTTGAACGTCAGCAGTGCCAAAGCGGGGGCCAATTTACCCAAGTCCAAATGGAGCCACGTGCCACTAAGCCTCAGCCCTGAGACCCTCTGCTCTAGCATCTGGGCGGTCACTGAGCTGATTTACTTTCCCCAGGCCAGGAAATGGGGACCCAGGCTGACTCTCAAGCCTTTGGGGCTGGTCCTGGGGGAGGCCAGCACCTGGCAAAGGCCAGCAGTTACCAAAATAGCCAAGCCAGAGGCCCTGCCCAGCACACACCTCCTTCCTCGTGCCTGCGAGGGCTGCTCACAAGTCCCCCTACCAGCCCAGGCTGAAGTCTAGCTTTTGGGCTGTGTACCCCTTGGCTCTGGGCTGGACAAGGGGTCCCTGGGATTTAGCAGCTCTGGCTTCCCTGGTAGGAGGGGGAGGAGAACCTCCTGCCTAAAAGGGGAATCCAAGCAAGGGAGGGGAAAAGTCGGGAGGATGTGTCGGTCAGGCTGTCCCTGTCCCCTGCCCACCTGCCCCCTGGCTGTCCCTCTGGGCCTTGGTCCTGCCACTCAGAATTGCTGGACGCTGGCACTGCCACCTGCATGCTGTACACAGGAACTACCCTCGGAGATATGCCACCCTTTCACCTCTCTCCACTCAGGGCCTGCCCCCAGAGAACCAGCTCTGGCCCTTTGGCCCTCTAGGCACTGGGGAAATTCCTTCAGTATGGCCAGGGACTCTGAGCCACAGCCGCACCTGGAGACATACACGTGGGCATAGCCAGGGACTCAGTCGGAAGCAGAGCCCACTCAGGTACACCCAGACACACATCAGAACACAGAAGTGCACACGGCTGATGGCACGAGGCACTGACACATTCAGCTATCATAGACACACAGGGGAACACACTGACACATAAACACACACCAGGGCACACAGACCGTCCCGGTGCAAAAAAACAGTAGATACACACTGGAACACACAAGTGCACACTGCTAGGGACATGAAGAAACAGCCACACTCAGAGATACACCGACATACACAGGTTCACTGGGACGGACAGGCAGACGGACACATACACACACCTGCCGCCTGCACTAGAAGCCCCAGCCTTTTTGCCAGGGAAACAAAAAGAGCCCAACCAGCGGGATCGATCAGATGATCCTCCGTTCCTTCCTGGTGGTGAAAGGGGCGCCAGAATGGGAACCGGGCAGGCAGGAGGCAGGCTGGCTAGCACGCCAGGCAACAGCTCGCAGCGCGAGGCTGGGGAGGGGGCTTGGAAGAGCAGGGCTACACTGGCCCCCGCGCTCGGCCCGCGCTGTGTCCCAAGCTCTGTATCTGAGGTGGTCTTACTGTCCCTAGCGCTCCGTACCTGGGGTGGCTGCAGTGCTCCTCGCGCTGCGCTCGCCCGTGCTGCCTTCCACTGGCGGGGGGCTGCCCGCCCGCCGGATCTCTGGCCCGCGGGTTCTGGGCTCAGCGCTGCTTCTCTGCACCTCCCAGCCTCTGGAATCCGCGTCTGTGTGTCTCGGTGCTGGCAGCGGCGCGTGGCTGTGCCCAGGGGCCGTAGCTCAGCGCTGGCGGCGTCGCGGAGGAAGCGGTAATTTATAAGCAGCTTCTTCCTGACCTCGCGTGTCTGTTGTCTGAGCAGGCAGCTCTCAGCATCACCCATCCTGCTGGGTGGAAAAATACCAGCTCGGCTGGGCGGGGGGCGGGGGGCGGGGCCGAGGGCGGGCCGGGGTGGGGTCTAGGTGTCCGGCCCCGCCTCACGCGCGGTCACACACTCACACACACTCACACACGCACGCACACGCACGCGCGCACTGGCTTGGACACACAAAGAGCCCGGGCACGCCGAGCGCGCGCACACACCCTCAAGCTGAGCGACAAACACAGCCTCTGCTTCCCCCATTAGCGCACACTTTGCCAGGCAACCCTTCCCCTCAGTTGCTGGAGCTAAGTGGTACAGCCCGTCCTCAGTTCCCCTCCTGCCTACTGGTGAAGGGCAGGAGAGCCCCCCAGTCACCTCTTTCGTAACACCAACCACCAGACGCCACCATGTGCCCAGGCACCTGGTTTATTGGGTAGAGCCTGAGCTCCACGAATTACAAGGTCCAAGCCACTAGATGGATTGACACAGTGGCTACAACTATGGCCTTAAGTATATAAACAAGGATTGTAAGGATGGCTCACAACTGGGCAATGTTTCGTTCTGTTGTAAATAGGGTCACTATGAGTCACTGCCGACTGGACGGCACCTAACAACAAACTAGACTAGACTCAAACAGCACTGCCCTCATGCGCAGTCACACACTCTCTCTCTCTCTCTCTCTCTCTCACACACACACACACACACACGCATGCATGCACGCACGCATGCGGCAGTCATCCATACCTCAGTCTCAGTGCCTCCTTCTGAAAAAGGGGCACAAAATACCCTCCGTCCTTGACTCATTCAGCTGAACGAGGGCAAACTAAGATTATTATTGAAGCCAGGCAAAGAGATCCTAGAATCCTGGCTTTGCCCCACTCCGCTGTGTAACCTCTGCCAAGTTACTCATGCTCTCTGTGCCTAGGTTTCCTCACCTGTAAAATGGAGATGAAAATAAAGAACTGATCCCCTTGGGTTGCCCGTGAGAATTCAAGGTTAACAGCGTGAAGAGCGCAGAACAGTACACAGCACCTAAGAAGTGCCAAACAGGTGCCAGCCAATGGAACTATTTTTAAATGAGGATGAGGAATGTGCCCTTATTCTTGTCCTTATTTGAATGAGCGGGTCCTCAAAGACCATTTTCTAAATCCTAGCACTGAGGGGCTTGAAAGGGAGGCTGTGGGAGCAAGGCTGGTCTTTTCCCTCTCTGAATGCCAGTTTTCTCCTTTCCCTTTCTTTCCCTCTCTGGCCCACGGAGGCTGTGTGAAGAGCATATGAATCCTTCCTCCTCTTAAAACAAGAAATAAAGAAGAAATGCCAAACAGGTGGACACAGAGCTATCCTCCATGTCAAGCCTGGCCCAGACCCCTGCCGGAAAGAGCCCCAGTAACACCTTCGAGTGTGCACCAGGGAGAATAAGGAGCAGTATTTCCAAGGTGACACACGTCTCTTCCTGGTTTGCTCATCCAAATCCCCTGCCATCTGGTTCCAACTTAACCTCCAATAGATTCCCCCCACCCCATCTCCAGCCAAGGCAGCTAAGACAAGCTAAGCCTGTGGCACCACAGCCACCCCAGCTGGCACCTACTCTGGACATCCCAGTTCTCCCCTTGAGTGCAGGGTAATTGCACCCATTCTATAGGTGAGAAAACTGAAGTTGGAGAAGAGAAGCAACTGAGTCCCCACCTCTCTCTGCTTCTCCTGTGTGAGCCAAGTACAGACTCCACACTCCCTTCTGCATGTATGCCTGCACATGGTAGAAGGTGTTGAAGCCAGATGGCAGGTCCCTAGGCCAGGAGGTGGGTGTGGAGTTGAGGATGAGTCAAGAGAGGTTGAGAGTGATGGGCAGCTGGAGGGGGGGCGGGAGCGGAGACACTGTTCTAGGCAAAGGAAACTGCTTGGGCAAAGGCCTGCTGACCAAAGCAGTGGCAGCACTAGGCAGGGGTGGCCTGGACCATACTAAGGGCTATGGAAGGGAATAAGGGCAGTGGAAGCAGTGAGAAGAGGAAGCCAGGATTGTATGACCTTCAGATAGGCCAGCAAAAACTACAGCATGGAGACAGGGGTCTTTGCACCAGGCCAGTGGCCCAGCTTGGGCTGGGGTTGGCTGCATGAGGGTGGGGATTATGGCCTTTTGTGAGGAGCCTTGAATCACAAGCTGCAGGGGTCTGTGTGGCTCTGGGTGAGGCGGTGAGCCAGCGCAGCTGCTGTTGAGCCCCCAGGGAAAGGACTGGGTCTCCCCACACACAGACACTCCTCTGGCCAAGATGGGAATTAAGCCGAAGTTTCCGTGAGAAGGCTGAGTCCTCTGAGCTCTGCCATAGCACCAGTCCTCTGTCTCTACTCTCACCCCTCCAATTTGTACCAGAAAACAGACTTATACAGCCACTTTCATAAATGGTTGAAATGGCAAATAAGTCTTGTTATATATATTTTACTACAATAGAAAGAAAATATAAGCAATTAAAAAAAAAAACAACAACTTAGATGGCTTCCAATTGCGCTTAGGAGAGAAGACCAGAATCCTAACAAGGTCTGGAGTACTGTGGTCTCCTGGTGCTCAAGACCTAGGTAAGTGTTTGGAGAATGAAAAGAGGAAAGAACAGAAACAGCAGGAAAAGGAGAACTAGCAAGAGCCCAGACAGATTCCAAAAGGAGAAGAGGCAGGCAGTAGTTAGGGATGGAAATGAGGCAGGGCCTGGTCTGGGGCCAGTCCAAGTCTTATAAGCTGACAGGACAGAAACACAGCCCAAGCAGGAAATGTTTCTGTATTGATATTGAGTGGAACCAGCATTAACAACTGTGAACAGCTTCTCATGAGTATATCTAGATAAGCATGGTTTGACTCTTCCTCAGTAGGTAAAAAGTGGCCAGAGGACACCTAGGACAAGGCTTGTCCAATCATCTGTCTTCCCCCTTCAGTCTTTCAGCTCTAAGAGGAATGAGACCTGGTCCTCGTGCTCCCGTTCTGAGTTCCAGGGTCTGACACAGGGCCTGGCACACAGTAGATATTCTACAAATGTTTGTGTAGTTTATTTTATTTAACAAATCCCTATATAACACTTAACTATGTGCCTGGCATGGTTCAAAGCACTTTAAATATGTTAACTCATTTAATGCTCACAACAACCCTGTGAGATTGGTACTCCATTTTACAGAAAGGAAAACTGAGCCACAGAGAAGTTAAGTAACTTACCTAAGATCACTCAGCTGAGAAGTAATAGAGTCTGCTGATAGAAGCCACATTCTTGAGTAAGGAGATTTAGGGCATGGGTGATTGCCAGAGAGAAAACCACCCCAGAGGCCAGAGAGAGAAAAAGAAATAAGGAGCCAGGAAGTGCTCCACCCTAGGGAGAGGTGACAAAGAAGGTGAAGGGATGGTCAGACAGGAGGAGAGGACACAGGGGGAGCCAGGTCCTTGAAGCCAGGGTAGGTGAAAAGAGTTCATTTTGGGGGTGGAGACTCTCAGCTCCCATTCCCTGCTCTTAGTGATTTGGCCCTGACATGCTCTCTGTTTCCTCAGTTTCCCCATCTGTTGCATGGGATAATAAGCCCTGTCTTGTTGAGGCATGGTAATGTCAGAGGTCTCAAACTGGGGGACCCTGGGCTGAATCAAGCTCCTAGAAATGCTTTTCCTGCCTCCACTGGGCTTTACAATATCTTGAATTGATTAATATGGATAAAAAAGTGGGAGATTCCACATTTTTCAAAATCGGAATGTCTGGTTTCTCTTGAAAACTGAGAAGATGAGGCCCCCTCAGACCCATCCATCTATGGTCAACAGTTGTCTGGAGCTGAGTGGCAGTGGCTACCCCCTCACATTGGAGCATAGGCTCCCCAGGGGGCCAGAGTCTCACATACCTGCTCCCCCACCCCACCCCCACCCCTGCCACCAAGTGGCTGAGTTTGAAACCCTTGAGATACTTTGTATACAGTTCCCATCTCTTTGCCAGGGACGGGAACTGGAAGCCCCAGGAAGAGGCTGTGGGCACCGAGAAGAATGAAAGTGCTTGGCAACAGAGAATAACCTTCAAGGAAATTCAGGCAGCGTTTCCCTTCCTAAGCCAAATAGTAGCATGAAATTCCGCAGGGACTTGGGCTTCCCATTTTAAAAATGGAAATCTATTGTGGGTGAGTGAAATGGAGGGGGTGTGAGTAGCGAGGCCATGGTTTTGGGCATTGGTCCACAGCCCTTAACTTAAAGGTAGGAAATGAGATATTTTAAAGGCTACTTGATTATAATTTTTTCAGCAGCTGGCAGCGATAAAAGAAAATCGATCCAAAACCTTTTGTCCCTTGCCAAAGACTTTGTCTCAGCTATCAGGCAACCAACAAGAGCTGTGGAAATGGTGCTGGATGTCCTGGTCCTGCTTGTGGGACCTTATGCCTCTCAGAGCATCATTCCTGGAACAGCCCAAAAGAGACCAAGGGACAATGTCCTAGCCACTTTTACTTCTAAGCACAAGCTAGTGTGTCCTCGTCCCTGTAGAAGCAGACCAACCATGTATAACCTAGGCTTGCCATAGCATCCAAGCCTCCACTGACCTTCTTCCTGCCTACCTCCCCTCTTCTTGCCTGCTTGCAAAGTCCCAGCTTTATTTCTCACCACTTGAGTGAGTCACGTGACTCTGTGCCTCAGTTTCCTAATCTATAAAGCTGGACTAATACTGAGCTCTATGCTGTGGGCTGCTGTGAAGATTAAATGGAAATGAGATGACTTATGTGGAGCACTTATCCCAGGGCCCAGCACATGGACACTCAGCAAACATTAACCATAATGCTAGCCATTCCTCTCCACTCATGCCTGGGCTTTCCCACCTCCAGGCTCTTCCCCATGGTGTCCCGGCTCCTAAGCCCAGAAGGCAGCGGTTCCTAGCAGAGCCCAGCATGGAGTGTGGAGTATAGAGGACCCGGGAAACATACATAGAATTAACTTGCGGATGTGGTCTGTGGGCCAGCAGGCCCCCATGGCTTACTTCCTCTTCTCTGCCGGTGGCATGGCCCCTGGGGGCAGGTTTGTG